TGTTTCCATTTTTTGTGTCCTTGCTGAATCCTTTCACGGGTGTTCTATAAGTCTCGTTGTAGAGATCCATCATTTCTTTGGCTAGGTGTTTTTCTAAATTTTTTATTCTTTTTGTGGCTATTTTAAATTGAATTTCTTGGGCCCAGCGGCGTGGCCTAGCAGCTAAAGTCCTTGCCTTGAACGCACCAGGATCCCAAATGGGCACCAGTTCTAATCCTGGCAGCTCCACTTCCCATCCAGCTCCCTGCTTGTGGCCTGGGAAAGCAGTCGAGGACGTTCCAAATGCTTTGGGATCCTGCACCCACATGGGAGACCTGGAGGAAGTTCCTGGCTCCTGGCTTTGGATCCGAGCGGCACCAGCTGTTGCACTCACTTGGGAAGTGAATCATCAGACGGAGGATCTTCCTCTCTGTCTCTCCTCCTCTCTGTATATCTGACTTTCCAATAAAAATTAAATCTTTAAAAAAATAAAAGAAATTGAATTTCTTTGTTTCTCCTTCAGTCAGTGCCATTAGCATATAAAAATTACCCTTTCGTATATTTACTCTGTGACCTGCAACTGAATTATCAGTTGTAATAGCTTTTGGGTAGACTGTCTAGATTTTTCTAGATTTTTCCTTGTACAATACCATATCATCTGCAAACATGGATATTCTGACTTCTTTTCCAAGTTTGATGTTCTTTATTTCCTGCTGCTTGCGTCTTGCTCTTGCTGACACTTCCAGAACAGCACAGAGTCAGAGTGGTGAACGGGAGCATCCTTTTCTTGCCCCAGATGTGACAGGAAATGCTTTCAGCTGCTCCTCTTTCAGTGTGATGCTGGCCATTGGTTTAGCATTAATAACTTTTAATGCTCCTTTCATGTCTGATTTATGGTGTTTTTTTTTTTTTCATGAAACGACCTTTATTCTTACTTACCAAGTGCTCCTTCTGCATCTATTGAGATTGTTTTGGCGTTTCATTCTGTTGATGTGATCTATGATGTTTATTGCATCCCAGCAACAAATCCCACTTGACCAAGTAGCTGGATGGGAAGTGGAGCTGCCAGGATTAGAACTGGCACCCATATGGGATTCCAGCGCGTGCAAGGCACAGACCCTAACCACTACACTATTGCGCTGGGCCCAAAATGTCTTGTTTTTAAAGACTGAATAATATTACATTATATGGACACACAATTTAAATAATACACACTTGTATACATTACATAACATATGAACATTAATATACAAACATGTTCCACTCCTTTTAATTCTTTAGACTACATAATCAGAAACACAATTACTGGACCATATGTTAAAGAGTTCTTAGAATAAATAGATGTCATGGAAAAAACTAAAACTTCTGCTGTGCAAAGACTATGCCAAGAGAATGAAAAGACATGCAACAGATTAGGAACAAATGCTTACAGAAGACACAGCCAATAAAACACTTTTATCCCAAAATTATACCAAAAATTTCTAAAACTCAACAATAAGGCAAAAACTCAATTCAAATCTGGGCAAAAGATATACAGTTTCATCAAAGAAAATATACATATGGCAAGTGAGCATTCAAAAAGTTGTACCACATCATATTTAACTAGGAAATTGACATACTGTGTTATGATAATTACACCCTTATGATTACACACCTACTATGATTACACACTTATTAGAATGCCCAAAATCCAGAGCAAGGCATTTAGTCCAGTGGCTGATAGGCCACACACCAAATTAGAGTTTCTGGATCCAATAGCAAACTCTGGGCCCAGACCCCAGCTTGCCCCTGACGCATACCTTATGCTCATGGAATCGGGTTCCTAGGTTGAGATCCCAGATTTAGCAAGGCTTGGTCTCCTCCTATCTATTGTGGCATGGGCATTTAAAAAATTAACAAAGAAAGCATTCTTTTCCACCTTTATTCTTTCTTTCTGTCTCTCTGGTTTCCACCTCCAAATCAATGAATAAATAAATAATAACCATCCAGGACCAATGTTGTGCACAGCAGTTTATGCCACTATATGTGATGCTGGCATGCTGTGTCAGAGTTCTTGCTGCTCTGTTTCACACCCAACTTCCTGCCTTTGCATCTCGGGCTCCTAACACCCATGGGGGAGACCGGGATAGAGTTCCTGGTTTTTAATTCTGAATTCTTGGTCCGTCCTTCGCTGTTGAGGCTATTTGGAGAGTGAATCAGAGGAATAATAGATTTCTCTCTGTCTTCCCCCCTTTCCTTCCTCCATCTCCTATTTTTGCTTCCATTTCCCCTCCCCTTTATGTTGCTCCACCTTGCAAACACATGAATAAGACTTAAAAAGAAATCAGAATGACTAAAACATAAAACACTGACAACATCAAATGTTGGTGAGAATGTAAAACAATAGGAATTATCAGTGCTTTTTGGTGAACATAAAAATTGTTAGTCACTAAGCAGGACAATTTGGCAGTTTCTTGCAGAACTAAACCCATTCTTCCATATTACTCAGTAGTCATGCTCAGATGAAGTGAGAATTATGTCCACGTGAAACGTGCACATGGATGTTTTACAGCAGCTTTAATCACACTTGAAAGCAATCAGGATGTCCTTCAGCAGGTGAATGTGTAAATGAACTGCAGTACATCTGGATGATGAAATATGACCCGTTGATGAAAAGAAATAGGCTATAAACCATGCAAAGGCATGGAGAAAACTTCACCACACACAACTAAATGAAAAGGGCCAATTGAAAAGACTTCATAATGTAAGTCTTCAACTGTATGACCAATCCTGGAAAAGGAAAAACCATAAAAGATCAGCGCTTGCAGAGGAGGTGGGGAGGAGTGCTGGGTGGACTTTGAACAGGCATAGTGCAGAGAGGTTTTAGGGCAGGGAAACTATTCTTTTTTAAGATTCATATATTTATTTTTTAAATCTATGGAGATGTGGGAGAGAGAGAGTAAAGAAAGAGAAAGGGGTCTTCTATATGCTTGCTCATCCCCCCAGATACCTGCAAAAGATGGGCCAGGATGAAGCCCAGAACCAGGGACTTCATCCTGGTTTCCGATGCGAGTGGCAGGGCCCAAGCACTTGCTCCCACTGCTTTTCCAGGTGCATTCGTCCAAAGCTGAATCTGCAGCAGAGCACTTAGGACTCAAACTAGCGCTCCAATATGGGATGCTGGTGTTTCATGCAATGCCTCAACCCACTGTGCCAGTGTCAGCCCACCAGTGAAACGATTCTGCACAATGCTCTAATGGTGGACACATGCCATACATTTGTCACAACCCACAGAATACCAACATAAATCTCAGGGCAAACACTGACTGCTGGTGGTAATGTGTTAGTGAAACTGCATCAGCTGTGCAAAGCTCTACTCTGATGTGAGATGTTCAAGGGGGGGGGGGCGGATGTGACAGAGAAGATCGTGTTTATGTAGGCCATGTGGTAACTCTCTATTTTCATTCAATTTTACTGTAAACCCACAACTGCTGTACAATGGAATTTTTGTTCCTTTAAAAAAAAAAACTATGACCTTCAGAATCAAACATGCCTGATTAGCCTTTTATGTCCTGTATTTATAAGAAGGTTAGTGATGCATCTCCCTCCCACATGAAAATGATTTTTGATTTTTATTTACACTTAGGGAGATAAGTTTCCATATGGGGGGAAAAAATTAAAGAAAGCCCATCAACTTTATCATCTTTTTTCCAAACTGAGGTGGGTTGGCTTTTCTAAAAAGATAAGCTGAAGGATTGCAAACATCTGTCTCCACTGAAAACTATTTGTTCTTTGATTCTCTGCAGATTCAAAACTGCTTTCCACACAGGAGGGGAAATGGTGGGGGTTGTCTTGCTGACTTCACAAACGAATTTCAGACACTCATCCCTGCACATAGTCTTGTAGGTAGATGGCTGGTCAGAGAGGATGTGAACATAGGTGGAGTAGGCAGGTGATTCTAGTTGAAATAAGGCTTTGTTTAGTGCAGTGGTAACAATGTCTCTAAATCCCTGGGAGGCAGGAAATTGTGGTACACAGTTTCAGTTGTTATCAACCCCTCCAAAAAAATGAAGCAAAGGAAGAAATAAGTGAGTGAGCTCAACTGGGACACTTTCCCATCAGACACGAGGTTTTCTTTCAAACCGGAAGACTTTGTCAGGAGTGAGTGGAACACTTTGTTCATCCTTTGTTCCAGAACTGAGAAGAAGCCACAGTAAACATTCGTTATGTTTTACAATAGCCAGGGAGCATTGCTCTCACAGTGGCTTTTCAGAGAACAGAATTAAAATCGATACAATATTGACTTCTAGTCTATGTGAAATATATCACCAAATATTTGTAAATGATTTTTAAATGCCAGAGGTGATAAAGTAATAGAGTACACCCTCCTGCCTCAGTGAGATGAGGGCAACCGAAGGTTACAAAAGATACTCTCCTCAGATTCATATTCCACATAGTGCAAGAAAGAGCTTTCTGAGGTGCCTCATTGATTCAGCTTTTTTTCTGATTTGCATTCTCTAGGGGTTTTTATATTACCTCCTCACAAGACATCCACAGCCACTTCTCAGCCTTCCCCCACCAGCCTCCCATCTCTCTAGGCATCTTCAGGTCCCCAGAGAGCCCTGAGCCTGGGTCACGCCTTTCAGTCTGTCTACGCTGATCCTTCAACCAGCATAGCCTTCTTCATGAATCCAGTCTTCCCTGTTCTGAAGAAACTTGCCACATCACCCAAATACGGTCCAAAGGAGCTTCAACTCTAAGCTTTTCATGGATCATCCTACAAAAGTGATTCAGTCTCTCCCCAAGGCATCCACTTCCACTGACATGGCACATTAGAACATGTTTAATCACATTTATATGTTTATCTGTATAATGATCTCATTTGAGCCCTCTGATGTTAAGAAACTGTATTTTGTGCATTTATATACCAGCACTTAACAGAGATATAGGAATAATCTAAGCTTTCTGCAGATTTTACTTTCTTGATTGAATATAGCTGAATATATTGAATGAATTTAGCTCTCCATGAGTCAGTCTCCTCTCTAAACACACAAACCAGGAAGGAGAAAAGGGAGAGAGGCAGGCAGAGTGGAACACCTCTTGTGACAGTCCCATGATCAGTACGGTTGGTCCTCTTTACTTACCATTGACGTTTTGTGCCCAGTAATGGAAAGCACAGGTGAGGAACTGTTCTCCCGATGTGAAAAATTCAAACAGGAGCTGTTTTGAGAACCTGAGCTTCCCAAGTCACTTTGTAGCTGTGCCTTTTCAGACAATAGTCTAGACAAAAAGCTGGCCTTGCGGCTGCCTGGATGTGGTTTGTCCACCCAGCCCCCACTCTCTTTCACACTGCTGTCACTGTCTCGGCAGTAGCTGTGCAAATCTGTGGCAGGCTCGCCTGAGGGCTCCACGTCCTGGGGCTGCTTCCAGGTCCCTGCTGCATAGACTGGACAGTGTCTCGAGGCAGTTGTTGTATCTGGCCAAGACTGGGTAGCTGTATTCCGTAGGGCAAAGGAGGAATGGTCTGGTTGCTGTCCCAGGTGCTGAATTCTGGGCCTGGCCTCATGGGGACAAGGGCTATGGACATGGAGCTGTCCGTTGTGCTGTTCCTTCTCAGCCCACTCTTTCTTGCTAAAGGAAGAATCTGCCTCAGATTGCCTGGGCTGTGGGATTTGCCACATGGCTTTAGACTTTGGAACATTGACTCGGATTCCTTGCTGCTGGTTATTGGCTTGAAGTAAAGAGATTCTTTCTGGCAAGGAAGAGCAAATCATACACTGCTGAGCCACTGAATATTTCCTCAACTGGAATGGAGGGCCTCTTTCATTCTCAACACACTCACTGCTGGATTTCTCATAAAGTGCCTTCATTATTTTCCTGACACCTAGATGAAATATTTCCAGTATATTGAGTAGCAAGGAGATGGCTGCAATGCTGTGCATAAAGAGCATGAAAATGGTCTTCTCCGTGGGCCTAGATACAAAGCAGTCCACTGCATTGGGGCAAGGAGGTTGAGTACACTTGTAAAGGGGATACATTTGAAACCCATAGAGAATATATTGGCCTATCATAAACCCTACTTCCAACACAGATCTGGTCAAGATGTGTAAGACATAAGTGCGCAGTAGACATCCTTTCAGAGGGACTTTATGGATCCTCTTCTGTTCTTCCAACCTCCTCAGTTCCCTCTCTATCCTTTGCTGCTCTTCTATGTTAAGTTCTGGATTCTCAATCTGGGCTCTGAGGTATGACTTCTTCCTTTGCCTCTCTTTCTCAAAGTCTCTGAGTCTGTAAAGTGCATGGCCCATATACACGAGTGAAGGAGAAGACACGAAGATGATTTGTAAAACCCAGAACCTGATCAAAGAGATAGGGAAAGCATCATCATAACAGATATTGTTGCAGCCTGGCTGCTGTGTGTTGCAGGCAAATGCTGACTGCTCATCATCCCAGACATCCTCAGCAGCCACACCAAGAACCAGCATTCGGAAGATGAAGAGGATGGTCAGCCAGATTTTCCCCACTATGGTTGAGTGGGAGTGGACTTCCTCTAGGATGCCACCCAATAGGTTCCAATCCCCCATGGTTAGAGACACTGTCTGAAATATGGAGAAAATACTGAGGTTAATAACACTTGTGTATATTATGTAGACTGGCATATAAGCTCACAAGTATACCAGGTTCTTTTTTCATGTCAGCAAGTGATGAAGAACTTTCTAGCCGTAATATTTAGGTTTATGCTTGATGATATTTGATGCTTACAAGTAATAGCAGGGTTTTTTTTTAACAAAAAAGAAACACAAAACTTTTCCACAATGTGTCCCAGTTTGTATCCTATTTCCTTATACTCTCACCCATAGCAGCTTGTCATTTTATTGTGTTTCTGGCCTCTGTACAATGTATTTCCATTCTGTAATTCTCGTTGTTCTCATCCTACAAGATGTCCCATTTACCACACATGTGACATGATCTTAAATAAGCCTCAGCTTCTCAGAAAACCTCCCCCAATCATCCCATGTCAGAGTTATTTTTCCCTCTCTTAAATTCCTGTAGTCATTTGGCACTGTGCCTAAATGAATTTCAAGATATTTTTGTCCTATGTCCCTTCTCTTGGAAAGCTACATCCCTTGTAGATCCTCATTCTTTGCATTCTGGTCTGTGCACACAGAAGTCATTTAACCATAATAATGAACTGAATTGCCTTTTCATTTTAAAACTTGATTCTTTGACTCTATCATTGAAATAACAATCAGAAAACCAGAGTAGATCTTCATAACATATTCATGCTTTAACTATGAGACAAAGTATAAATGAAATAGAAATCAGTCAAGTAATTCTTTAGGAACTGGCTCAGATTAGGATAACAGTAAAGATTAGCCAGATAAAGAGACAGTATCAGCAATTACACATGATTACATCAACTAAGTTACATCTGGAACATCATAATTTTCGTGTATTTTTGCTCACTTAAAAGAAAAGTTACCATAATCTGTTTCTAAAGCAAGCCCGGAATCTGAGAAAGAATCAAGGCATAGCTAACATGAACAAATTTCTTTTTATTTACCCTGAAAAACTATTGTTTTGAAAGGTTCGATGAGGTTAAATATGCAGTAGTTGGGCCAGCGCCATGGCATAGTAGCTTAAGTCTCCCTCTGTGATGCCAGATCCCAAATGAGCACCAGTTCAAGTGCCAGCTGCTCCACTTCTGACCCAGCACTCCGTTAATGAGCTTGAGAAAGCAGCAGCAGATGGCCCAAGTGCTTGTGCCCCTGCACTCATGCTGGAGAACCAGATGAAGCTCCTGGCTTCAGGTCAGCTCAGCTCTGGCCATTGCAGCTATTTCAGTGAGTGAACCCAAGGAAACTTTTAAATCAAAATTTAAAAGTGGCAGAAAACTCATTTGAAACAGGCGTTGGACCTGGTGCTGTGGCATTGTAGGTTAAGCCTTTACCTGTGATGCCAACATCCCACATGCACACTGATTTAAGTCCTTACTGCTTCACTTCCATTCCAGCTCCCTATGAATGTGCCTGGGAAGGCAATCAAAGATTCCCCCAAGTCCTTTGGCCCCTGTACTCATGTGGAAAACCTGGAAGAAACTCCTGGCTTTAGATGTGTTCAGCAACAGTCTGTAGTAATGTGGGGAGTGAACCAGCAGATGAGAGATCTCTGTATCCCTCCTCTCTGTAACTCTGCCTTAAGTAAAAATACATAAATCTTTCCAAAAAAAGAGGCATTAACGAAACTTTCACATTTTACTGCATATAAATTGATCACTAACAACTCCCAATAATGTAAAAAGAATCCAAGAACAAAAAGACAAAAACACAAAAAATAAAAGTGAAGTCCTCTATTTCCTCCTTCCAGTTGGAATAAAGTATTAGATATAAAAATTGAGGGCCTGGCACGATGGCATAGTGGTGAAGGTCCTCGCCTTGCACACACCAGGATCCCATATAGGCGCCTGTTCTAATCTTGGCAGCCCTGCTTCCCATCCTGCTCCCTGCTTGTGGCCCGGAAAAGCAGTCAAGGACCGCCCAAAGTCTTGGGACCCTGCATCTCTGCAGGTCAGACCTGGAGGAAGTTCCTGGCTCCTGGCTTTGGATTGGCGCTGCACCAGCCATTAAGGTCACATGGGGAGTGAATCATCAAACAAAAGATATTTTTGTCTCTCCTCTTCTTTGTATATATCTGACTTTGCAATATAAATAAATAAATCTTTTTTAAAAAGATCATGGAAAATGAAATTAAAAGATAAATTTTGGGGGCCAGCTTTGTTGGGTAGTGGCTAAAATTGCTGCTTGTGCCACCAATGTCCCAAATGGGTGCCATCTTGTGTCCCAGCTGCTCTATTTCCAATCCATCTTTCTAGGAACACAATGAGAAAAACAGAAGATGGCTCACATTTTTGGGGCCTCTGTAACCTATATGAGACCTGGATGAAATTCCTGGTTCCTGACTTTGACCTTACCCAACCCTAGCCCTTTGCAAGCATCTAGGAGTAGGCCAGCAGATGGAAGACTCTGTGTGTGTGTGTAACTATTTCTGTAACCCTTTCAAATAAAAATAATCTAAAATAAAAAGGTGCTTTGTATCAAAAGCATTCAGAATCTTGCATAGTTTTTTTTTTCATTTTCCATAAACTTTTTAAAAGACTTCTTGTATATCAAATGTAGGTACGTGTGTATTTGACTATACAAGTATAAAAAAATGGAGGATACACAGTAGGAAGTTAATATAGCCTACCTCAGGTAGGTGGGAGTTGGGAATAATATACAGGACATTTGAAGGAAAAGAAGGAATAAAAAGGAAAAGAAAAAAACTAGAAATGTTTGTCTTTTTCTAGTATATATATACCTGTGTAAATCTCACAGAGGTAATAAGAAATTTCTTTTAAAATTTCAGGCATATCACATGAACTAAGGCGATCATTTACTAAGTACTATCCCATTTTAAAGAATTAAGATGGACTATACTACTGTAATAATGTGGGGAAAATCAGTCGGGATGGGAATTTGGAAAGAACATAGGGAATTCCCAAACCCTATGTTATGGTTCAAAATTTTAAAAATGATAAAAAGAATTAAGGTCTTTTGTCATAATTTTCTTTTAAGCATAATTTTCTTTTAAGTTCTGGAGCTTCTATTTTATCTAAAAACCCAGAAGAGAAAAAGCTAACTCATTTCAATTAACATGTCCTGTATTTAGTAAACCAAAACCAAATTTTGCTTCTTTTTACTTCTATCACTTTAAAACATGGAAGCTATTTTAAAGCAGTAAATAAAGGAAAATGGTGTCTAAATGAAAAGCAGAACCACAGTCTTACATATTTGCATGCATGAGCAGAGCCCTTTAGACAAGCACCCCTAAGTACTTTCTACCACTAAATGACTGTGGGACTTAGAAATAGAGTCGTACAGCTTCCTTTATTACTAAATACTAATGTAACACCTACCACATTAAAGGCAGGTTATCCTTTCCTTTGTTTCAGTTCAAATCACTCTGCCCTCGTAGGGACTTCCCATAGATTTCTCTAAGAGGCTGCATATCTACCACTTACCTTCTGGAAGAACCAAAGTCAGACGGGCTCACAGAACCTTTAACCTGGACCATGCGTGGCTCAGTTGTGCAACAACTGCTGCTGGTTGCAGATATAAAGGCTTTGGTCAGCTGGTTGTGGGGCCCTAACCCAGAATAAGAACAGTAATCTGATCAATGAAATGCAATTCAGTCCTTCCCCAAGGTTCACATTTTTAGGTTGGTTTTCTGCAATTTTCTTACACTGTTTTTCTCTGACACCAAGCTGGGATCCTTCCCATATGTCATACGTGGATGTGAAAAGTAAAAGAAATATGGATTCTCCTTTTTCATTTGTGATTACAGTGATTTGAGTTTGAGTACATTTCTTTCAGTCCACTGATCTCCCTGGGAATCGATATTCACAGATCAATGAGTCATGTCCAGTGATATAAATAACTACCTGGGGTGAGTGTGGCCTCATGAACTGTGAATAAATATTAATGAGATGACACACAAAAAGAGTGTTCTTGTAAATCATGCCATGCTAATAGCAGAAATGTCTCAAAAAAGTAAGCATTTTTTTGAGCACTGATAGGGTGGGTGCTGTGCCTCTCTGTATTCTAGCAATTCATTCTAGCAATTCTGCTAGGCTGATCAATAGCTGAGGGAAAAAATCTTAATAGTCTGAAATCCAGTAGTAGTCTTAGAAACTGGGTCTGATTTTTGTAGAGAAAGAATTCCAATTGCAGAAAAGCCAAATGACTTACTTGATGCAGACAGGAGAGCTGTTTGCCTAATTCCCACTCTGCTGTAGGAATGTCCACCAGTCACATCTCAAGTAGACAGTCATACAGCCCTTGTGGAGGGGTTCACAGCAAATGTGCAACTAGAACCCAAAGACTGAGTCAAATCACAGACAGCTCTTGACCACATTTCTAGGCTGTCCATTTCCATAAAAAAAATTTGAGAAATGCATGAAACTGATAGTTCATCAGTGTCATCTGCCTATTCTATTTTTAGACATTTTTTTTCATTAAATTTTGTGTCTAAAGAATTATTTATTCACTTGGAAAGAGTTACAGTCAGGGATCTTCCATATATTGGTTTATTTCCTACATGGCACAGAGCCCAGGACTGGGGCAGGCCAAAGCCGGGAGGCAGGAGCTTCATCAGCCCTTTCTTATGGGAAGCAGGGGTCCAAGAACTTGGTCCATCTGCTGCTGCTTTCTGCCAAGCCATCAGCAGGGGGAGACAAATCAGAAGTGAAGCAGACAGGACATGAATCAGCACCAATAGGGGATGCTGGCGTCACAGATATTGGCTTGACCCACTTCATTCCAACTCCAGCCCACAATTGCTTTTAAAGAAAACAGGGGTTGGTGCAGTAGCCTAGTGATTAAAGTCCTAGCCTTGTAACCACCAGGATCCCACATGGGGGCCAGTTTGTGTCCAAGCTGTTCCACTTCCCTTCCAGCTCCCTGCTTGTAGCCTGGGAAACATAGTGGAGGATGGCCCAAACTTTGGGCACCCTGTACCCCCGTGGGAGACCCAGAAAAGGCTCCTG